ATCCTTCAACTCTTATTTTTCCCCTTTCCCAACTATTATACTGAAATGAATATAAAAGAAATAAAGTATGTCCATCCTATATATAGCAGAATTTTTCCCCACAAACACCAATCTTCATCTGGCAAATATTTCATGCTGTTTTATTTATTGAGCAAGAACCTGCTTATAAAATCCACCTCCAATATAGCACAGAGGAAGTTTTACTCAAACAATAAGACTGACATTAACTGAAACATTAACTGAACATTAAGACTGCAGTTTCCTGGCAAATACCAATTACTCCTTCACTCCCACAAATTTCATATTAATTTGATCCTTGCCATTTTTTGCCATTACATTTTCATAATTAATTTTGAAAAAAATCAAAATGAAAACATCTCAACAAGAAGAATGTCCTTTCCTAGCAAAGGCTGTTCAAAAGACGTCTCTCTGAATGAGAGTAATCCAGCAGGGAAATCTCAGCTGATGGCCACGTACCCCACTGGGGTTCTACATGAGGTGTCTGTTCATAATACTTGATCAGTTACACGGAGCCACTGCTAGTCACTTTGAATTGCTATAACCTTCTCTATGAATGGACTGGTATTGATGGCTTAATAGAAAGCAACACAGTATTTCACAGATAAGAATGTTACAATACACACTTGAAGAATAACAGGAAAAAACTATTAACTTTGATGACCTTAACTTCTGTCTTCAATAAATTCCAAGCTCCGACTCTTTGTGCAGGGCAAACCTGTTCATGACCCCAGGATTATTGAGAGTTAAAAAGCAGCTGCTTTTCTGACAATAAAGATGAACACAGGATTAACCAAGATTTAAAGTTACATTTTTTGATATATAAGGAGAGCGAAGTTTAGAAAGAAGAAACTACAACTAATATACAGGAAATCTGGAAGATCAACCTACAAGAACTCTCCTGGAAGACATCTGGCAAACTAGAAATACATACAGTCCCTTCAACTACTTCAAAAGTTCATTCCCTGATGCTTTTCGTCTAACTAGATACTGCAGAAAGAGCATCTACTCATCATAAACAGTTGGCATTGTCTCCACAGCTATCAGAGCTGTAGATACTGAAGAGAGCGCTGCTGGCTGACATCTGGATGATTTAAGCACATTTTTGATACAGTTTATCACCATGCATAGTGGCCTGCCCTTTGCTATCACACAGGGGTAATACAGAGTTAAAAAACTGCATCTTTGAAGATGCAAATGCTTGCTTTTTTAATGTTACCATTCATCTAGAACAGCGGAAGCACAAGCCTATAAGCGAAAAAAAATTATTTTCTCTGAAGGATTTTACATTATAGTCTAGTTCAGATTAAACTACAAAAATAAGACTTACAAGTAGCAATAGTAAAGAACATTTTATTAAAATGGAAGTTTGTCAAACCTTATGTATCAAAACTAAGGCCACAGCTAATGCTAACACAAAGTCAACCTCAAAAGGTTCTTATAATATGATACAATTTAGAAATCTTATACAAAGCTATTTTACAAATGACTACTCAAACATTCTGAAATGCAGCATTACATACTTGTTCTAAAATGATATATCAATTATTCTAGTGATAATATTTAATGATACAAAGTACTGAACTATCAGTGCATATAACCTGTCTTTATTTTGGTCCTGTGACGAAAGTAATTTTCTGTATCACGCCAGCTACGGAATTGAAAGGAAGTACAAAACATTGTAATGGAAGCTGCCGATGATTCCTCCCTTTTGTGCTGAGTTCATTTCTTTTCTTCTAATGCTAAATATCGCCCGTCATAATAGCAATGAACTCTTCTTGATTGACTGCAGAAAAAGAGAAAATTGTTAGACAAACAGCAAACATCCATAAACTATAAACTAATGCATATATGTACAGTACTTTTTACTTAAAGGTTTCCCAGTTCGTATTTGTTGTGTCTGATTCATCACTAATCAGTGGTTACAAGTTTGGATTTTTTGCTTCTAGAACAACAGAGATTTTGCACTTCTTTTTTCATGTAAAAGGAAAAGTTAGAATGCGAGCTTAATTATGTAGAATACTTAAGCCAGAATCTAGCTTGTATATAACAAGCTATTATTTCTAATTATGAAAGTAAAAATATTTTCGAAGTAAAACAAGATAGAAAAAAACACTGAGAAAAGTATGTAAAAAGATGGCTATGCAAAAACATAATACATTATTAGGATTTTTTAAGATTTATAAAAATGTTAAAAATTATACATAAATTTTATTCAATAAGTGCTTCTCAAGCAACAATACTGCAGCTCCAGTTACAATCAAACTCAGTTTTATTCTTAAAATCATGATTCAGACATTTATGTCCAAACCGCCCCCCAAGCCCAAACCATGCTATTCTTCTCTCCCTCAAATCTGTAATGCTTGCCAAATACAAAATGAATTTTAAGATCATTTACTAATGATTCCATAAATTAGCTAGAATTAAAATGGACTTTTGACAAGCTTTTCCCCATCTGAACTTTCTTCATTCTTCAGTTATAATTAACAGAAATTTTACGCAAATGTACTTGAAGAAATCAAGTCATAATAATAAATTAATTAGCAGTCATTAATTATTTTGCTGCACTTATACCTGAGCTATTGACCTTACTCATATGTTAAGACAGAGCCACTGTAGAAGAGTTAACCAATGAACATATTCACTCTGCAACTAATTACTGTAGTGGGGAATGATTAGAATAAGTCAGTGGTATGGAAAAGACCAGACATGTATGAAGAATTCTCCCTGACAATTATCTGTCCCAGCCAGTGTGCCCAAGCTATTCCTAAACAAAGCACTGCAAAATAAGAGCTACATTTACAGCTAGCAGAAAATTAAACAAATTCGAGTATGTTATGGAATAAAAAAAATAAACCTAAATCTGCCCCGTTGCGACACATGTCAAAAAATATGAAACAAGTAGATCTAGTCTAGCTTAGGACCCTATACTCTGAAATATCAGTCCATCATATAGCTACATCATGTTCTACTACACATAAGCACTATGATGTCTGTATGACTTTAAAAAGCATTTCCACAGCTTTATCACAGTAACAGCACAATAACAGCACAAATACAAACATCCTCCCCAAAATACTCTCTGGCTTAAAACATCTTTGTTAAACAATCCTGCAAAGTGGAAATACAGTATTACAATGACAAACAAATTTTGTAACATTCAAACAAACTGCGAAGAGAAGCGTAGTTACAATTCCCAGTAACCCAGTTAATCCCAGTTAATCCTCCTCAGATTTAGGATCTGTTCACAAGCTAAGTACAATAAAATCAGAAGCAATCAGTGTCTTTCTCAGCATCAGATTTCCCTCAATTCCATGACATAAATGATCATAAAAGAACAAATTAGTATAACGGCTAATATGAAGAAAATGTTGACTTAGACTCTGGAGAGTTAAAGGAGCATATTATTTCAGCGGTGGCTTTTTTCTAATTTTTCTAATTCTGTGCCAAAATCTGAGACCTAAGACTGGATCGTGTTTCCTACAGATGCATCGACACAAGACGACAAAAACTGCATGAACTGACAGCATGGAGTTTCTAAAAATAGCCATACTCCAAAACAGAAATTGTTCCTAAGACCGGGAATACGAAAATAAGACTATTTATGTTTTTAAGGCAGACAGAAATATGTCAAACACACTTTCTTCTACAGAAACTTATGTACAGTGTACCAGTACAGCTCAGTGGTTTTGCTGGAAACACAAGGGTTCAAGTAGCCTGGGTATCACACAACAGACCTTATTTCACGATGAGCAAAACAATCTCTCAAACATAAAGGGTGTTAAACCACAAGTGGTATTATTCCTGTATTTGAAGTATCAATTAAAAATGCTACCAACTAACAGTTTCAGATACTTTTTTCTGGCAGGAAGAGAAGGAGAATTAGATGGCAGCAAGATTTTGCTACGTGACCCAGATGTTTGAAGTTAAATGGAACAGTGATTCACAGGATTATTTACTTTTTCAGAATGAATCTTAAAAAGCGAGAAACGGCATCAGTTTTCTTTAAAGAAAACACAGAGAACCTTAAGTGTAAACAGCACCATATACAAACATTATACTGTCAATCTTCCATATTCGATCTCGTGCTTGACTGCTCTAACAAAGAGAATGAATGGATGAATGAGTAAGACAAAACTAGACCACCCACTCTTAGGTGATCAATTTCAATTCAAAAATGTAGCACTGACCCAAAATAATTATGACTCAGTAACCTTCCTGAAAGGAGCTAATGGTCTACATTCAATCTGTAGTGACCAAATAGCCACATGACAAAAAACCATCCTTGATCCATGATTCTGACATCTCAGTTGGCAGCTCCAGGAGAGCAACACAGCACAAAACGTGCTTGCAGATGAATTCTACTCTCACTCACCTCTACAGCTGCACCTTCCAAAAAAGAAAAACGAATCTTAAAAAAAAGTAAAGCTAGCAATGCAATGTCCTTCACTCTCACTCACCCCTACAGCTGCACCTTCCAAAAAAGAAAAAGTAAAACGAATCTTAAAAAAAAGAAAAAGTAAAGCTAGCAATGCAATGTCCTTACAACTCTTCCTTTTAAAAGCAAAACAAGCTCAAAATTAAAGTATCTACCTAGACATCTATCAATCTAATGGATTGAGAAAACAGGCATCATTCCTTGCCTGCTATACAGCTACTGAAAAGGAAGTAAATAGGTATCCTATTGTCTACCAGAATTCACAGCTGCAATCTTGTGTGTCACTGAACACAGACAGGTGCCTGAAAACAAGATTTGCAGCTTTCACTATACTGACCTGCTTCAATTATCCTATAGGAAACGCTGAGAGAAAACAAAATCTATTTTCTCAGGATGCAGCTCCGAGAAAATCTGATCAAGCACTGAGACAGTTCAGGGATCTAAGTAGCAAGAAAAACAACACTTAAAAACCTACATGAATAGTTTTCTCCTGGCTTAGCTCCCCTAAACACCTCACCTATGGGATCAGATACTGCCAGTGCAAGACACAGCTGAGAACGTGGAGGAACATCAGAATTATGCAGTATAGATCTGTAAAGGAACCATGGCCTCAGACCACAGAAAGATATCAGAAAACAATAGCTCCAAAAGGAAAGAAATAACACTTTTCCCAACACTTACTTTAGTAATAACAGTGTCAACATTAATACTCTTCTGGCAGTTGATTCACTGACCTTTCACTATCTTTGTCTCCAGTCTCTGTATTTACACCACTACAACGGAACAAAAGGTTCGCATTTCCACACCACTGACCATCTTTAAATGTCCTGCTCTTCCTCTTGAAAGAAAAGGGGTTGTTTCAGTACTTGAGTAATTGTATTCCCAAGTGTGGAATACCATCTATCTCAAACAGCACAGAGGGCAGGAGTGTCTGTCACAAGGCTGACAACACAATTTTTTTTCACCAGTAGTGAGAGTTTTGAGTCCAACAGATGCAGTGGCTCACAAGTAGAAATACTATTGTAACTGGGAAAGTTGATGAACCGCTAGTGAAATCTCAGACACGAGTCACCATCCAGAAAGAAAAACTCAGAAGTAGGTTTTGATGACTGTTAAAAAATGCAGCGTTTATGTACATGGTCTCAAGTGAGCAGTCCCTGAAATTCCGGTATTAAGGATTCTGGTGTAAACGTAAGGATGTTTTCAAGCTAATGAAAATAAACAAAGTTTCAGCGTTCACAAAGATTTAATAAGCATAGTATCAAACTGGATTTGTTAATTCATTCTTTATCTAGCTAATAAAATCCTTCTGCAGCCCCTCTGTATGGACCTTGTCAATTGCCCAGAGCCATTTTTCACACTATGCTCTTCAGCACTCTGAGGTTCAGAGTATGTTAAAGACCCATCGAAGCTGATCCTGCAATAGACCCAGGGTGCATCCAGCATGATTTACTAGCTTAATACTCCATGCCTGACTAACACGCTGAAATCACAACAGTGACACATCACCACTTAAGAAATATTGACTAGGCGATCGAAAGAGTTTCTCTTAGCACTTTAATCCTTTTACTGATTTACAAGGAAATAAAACTGTAACGTAGGTACATGGAATCTCCCATGTACCAGTTCAATTACTTCCACCTTCAACTACACTTTCACCAATCTTTTAATAGACAATAGTTGAATAAGAGTTAGTGGTGAATCAACTTGAGAAATTAACTTGATTTTTAGACTCCAAGATATGATTCCAGGACTAGTCAAAAATAACAAATTCCACTATTTGTAAGCCAAATTAAGTTTGAGCTGAAAGTTATCTAGAAGGAAACCAAAGAGGACATTTTCACAACAAAACCACATTTAAAAAGGGGACTATATGGGGTTTTCTTTGCTAACACGTACTTTCTCCATCTCCATCCTTATCAAATTCTTCAATCATAGCCCGTAGTTCTTCATCAGACATATTTTCACCCAATTCTCTAGCAACCCGGCGCAGGTTTCTCAGACTTATTTTACCAGAGTCATCATCATCAAACAATTTGAATGCCTTGAGTATTTCTTCTTGTGGGTCTCTGTCCAATATCCAGTCTGTCACTGTAAGAAGGATACTTAAATTAGACTAAAAAATTCTGAAGGGTAAACTCAGAATGACCATAGCAGATTGAGGCAATACGAAGAACACACACTCCTGATTTCACCCTTTCTTTCATTTTTATATAGTTCAATTCAACATGCATATTTGTTTGGCCGTTATCTGACCTTTCTTTCTCATCTCTCTTTTCCCAAGCTGAGTTTCTCTTTGGGACATACCTGTTGCAGTGGAAAGCTACACGGCAATTTAGACACAGTCACGCTTTCAACGCACCTTTCAATAGGAATTACAAGTATACACATGCCTCCTCTGTTCCAAACTTACCTTTCAGAAAAAACATCAGCTCTGACAGATGAAGACATGTGAGTTTTTTTATTTTATACGTTTTGATCAGGATAGAGTTTTGACTTGGAGAGACCATTGAAACATTAAGTAATGAAAAACATTCACATGGAACCTCTCTTTTAGACACAAAAAACCTAAGCCCAGGGGTTATGAAAAGGGCACTGCTATGAACTACAAGATGTTAATTCTGAAAGGATTCATCAGTCTTTATTATTCCTTTTATCACAACCATTTGTCAGTTTCTGTAACAGAAAAGACAAACTTGCCACGTAAAATATTCTTCTAGTAATTATTTCAGACATTTCTGGAACCAACTGTAAATATCTTCACATCTTTGTACCTGCTAGTCTTGTATTACAGGGCTTGCTATTTATGACTTTCATCAAGCCATTAAAAACACATCAACCCCATTTGTGCATAGAGAACCACTTAGCATCTGCTACTGTCTGCAGATGGAACGCCTGCTCTGGCTTAGTGAACTTGACAGGAAAAAATTAGATTCAAGCTCATATAAGCTCACTACAGCAATGAAGTTTATATGTCTACATAAATCCCTCAGGTTTACATTAAATTTAAGTATTTTCATTTAAAACAACTACGCTGCATGACAGTATCGCATCATTTAAAAATTCTACCTTCCGTGGCAAGAAGACAACCGCAATGTTAGCTGAAGAACAATAAAACACTATGTCTCTAAATACCATAGGTAACATTATTGTACAAAAGAAGACAAAACGTAGTTGCATCTTTATACATTTCAGATGGGCCATTCCTACATTTAAAACCATAAATACCATTAAACTATGAAAAATTGATAGCTCAAGAATTGCTTAGCTATATTCAGCAGCTCTTCACAATTAAAGCTTCTATGATCTATTTTCTCTAACTCCCTGATCTTTCTGCTAGAAGTGGTATTATGTTTAATTCTGTGTCAAGGTCATACTGCATCATAGCAGCACTCAAACCCCATTCAAATTTCGGGACAGGTTCGATCGCCTTCCAAGTGTATGTTGTACTTTCTACAAGAATTTTCCTAGCTTCTCACAGCACTTTTTGACTGCCCATATTGATAGCCAGGACAGAATCAGGAAACAATGAACAATGACAGGATTAAATATCAGGAATTAAGAAAGAATCACACAGTAATTAAAGTATATTCAATTATATAATATTATAGCATAATGATGCACTTATTATTATTGCTATTAAATCAATACGCTCACTTTACTTTTTTTAATTTATTTTAAATTAAATCAGGACTGAGCACGTGTATTTCCCCATAGACTTTATTTTTGGTTCTTTTCTGACTTATAATTTGCTTTAACCCGGCATACAACTACAAAAATATTATCTGTCATTAACTACACATTTTGTCCAATCCCAACTTGTTAAATCATTAAAATTTGCCACGTTTCAATCATTAGCTGTGTTGCCACATTAAGTAGATTGTTATTCGTAGCCAAGAGGAAATACACATGTACTACATTGGGGATTGGGTTTTTTTCAGAAAATTTACAGAAATCTAATACCGTGAACACATGGACTGGAATAATGAAATAGAGATATAAAGCCATAAATGGAGAAATCCCACACAGCTTTTTTTTTTGGTAAACACAAATTGTATGCAAAAGTATAAGTTATGTGTAACAACCAAAAAAAAAAAATCTTCAAATAATGAAATGCCACTGTTTTTATTAACAGTTGAAAATCCTTTAAGTACAATATTTAACGTCTGCTTCAATTTCTCTTATCTTTGTTATATACGAAGTCTGTATTCAGTTTACAGTTTGCCTGTGTATACACTCCTTCCCGTGAAATTCAATGCCAAATACTTTTTCCACAGCAGGAAGGAGAATCTTACAAAATCCATAAACACAAGAATATCTACATTTTAAGTTAGCATTTATTCCTTTGTGTTAGTTTGAAAAAGATTAGGACTGTGTATACTATTTCCTTTTATACTGTGGCTATCATTAATCTCTGCATATCAAACTGAGTATTCAGAATACAAAAATTTATTTTCCTGCACTATTGACTTTTATTAAGAAAAATATGAAATGAAATCTCCCACTTCTGTTTCTTAATGGTACTAGATAACTGAAAAAGTACACAAAGTACTGCTTCCAAATTGTAGTCACTACTACACGCTAAATTTCTCTAAAGGTACACAATCAAACACATACCAACTTCATTAAAATCTTCAAAGGTGATCTTGCCTGTCGCTTCTCGATCATAATCTTTAAGTATTTTCAGTACATCAGCTTTTTTCACATCAAAACCCAAGGCTCTCATTGCCACCTTTTGGAATAAAATGGAAGTGCAACCATAGATGAAGATTAAAATACGGATTTAACAGATTTCTTTTTATTTTCAGTAATTACCTTCTTGCCCAAGACAGAAGGTGTGTATCAGTGGTTTAGCAACAACAGTAAATAAAATTAATAAAAGGAGAAAAACTTTGGATATAAAAATCGCTTAAAACTACTACTAGCAAAGGGAACATCAAGCTACAGTGAAAAAACTAGCCTTTGCATTTTCAGGGATTTTACAGACTGGACCAAATGCTTCTTGGAACAAGAAGATTTATTTTCCTCACTTCCAAAAACATTTCAAGTACTGACCCTTTTTCGAAGGTATAACTGAAAATCATTCTTTAAATTATTCTTCTTCAGTATTCATACTAAGTGTGTATATGTTTACGGGTTTACAAGTCCTCTTACAAGTAACTTTACTGCTTTTCCAACGAACAACATAAACCAACCTATTTTTTATTTTTCCATTAGGTTAGGAGTACACATTTAGTTTCCCATTTGAACTGAGATGGCAATTTCTCAGCACACACTACCATAACTTCCTCCAAGCTGATGAACATACACTAAACCAGAAGTGGAAAACCACAATCCTATTGTATGTAGCCTTTCAAAAATCTATGCTATATGCTGATTTTGTAGAGAAGGAGATAGTTCTTTATGTACTTCCGTTCTTCCATAGTATTATCTTCAGGGCCACAATATTTAATTAGACAGCTAAGAAACAGCTTTGCAAGTAATCATTACAACTGGGAATTCAAAGCATACCATAATTGGAAAAAGCATATTAAGAGTCCCGAAACAGTCCCCAGTACTACCCCACTCGCTGTGGCTTCCAGCAAAGATAAAATACCTGAACTCTGAAATAAAGAGAAGGGAATCACTATACCTAAGACATTCCTGTAACAGCAATTAAAGTAAAAATAAGACTTTTTTTTTTTCTTCTCTCCCCTCTTTGAGTTAGTTGGTAGAGCCAGAATGTTGAGCCAGCAGGTTGGATTAGGTATTCCCTTCCAAAAGAATATCACCCAATACATGACAGAAACACTGGCCTCTCCAAAGCCACTTTTTGTTCTTGATGCAGTATAATTAGAATAAAAATTCCTAGAAGATTTAAAGAGACTTTAATAAACTTCATGACTATTTCTAGAGACTTCCAGCTGGGAGGACTCACTAGGAAAGACTGCCATCCTAGCCTCCATTTGCCAGTAGTTATCAACAGGAGAAGCCTTTTTTGGGAAGGGAAACTACTGAGCCTCCCTTATGCACAGCAAATAGCATACCTCATTCCTACAATCCATAGGCTCCCTGTTGAAAAATGCAAGTGGGTAAGCTTTGGCTTGTAGTCAAGGGTTTTACAAATTTGATTTACATCTTTTACCTAAGCCTCTGAAACCTGTGGATTTTCACAACATCAAGCTTTAGATCATACAGTGCCTTCAAAAAGAACCAAACAGCTTTCCAAGAGCTTTTCCCACTTAGTCATCTGTCCAAGCTAAACCCTGGGGAGCATTCAGACCAGTGTTATGCAGGATGCTACGGCACTTCTGTTACTGTGTCAAGTATATAGTGTAGGAAGAAAAGCTCATTCTTACACCAATCCAGTATTCCCTTTTCTTTCTTTCCAAATATCCTCACTCCTTCAGCCCAGCAAGAGATCTTGAACATGGAGCATTTTTTAAAGACACAGCCAACATCTTAAAAACTCACTAAGAAACAGATATCTATTATCTGCCATAAAATTGTTTAAATGAAAAAAACTTTTACCTTTAATTCATGATAATTTATTGCTCTATCTTTGTCTGTATCAAACAACTCAAAGGCATCTTTAATTTCTTGCTTCTGTTCCTCAGTCAGTTCTCTTCTCTTCTTTTTTTTAGTTTTGTCTACCGAAAGCTCATTCCTGTGTAAGAAGAAAGAAATTAAGTGTAATTGATTTCTACTGGGAAGATACCACTGCAGATACCATTTTCCACTGATAAGAAACTCACGATAATTGCACAGATCATTACCTTCCCCATTCAATCTTTTCCCAGCTTGTCCTCCCAGCTTAAAATAACACTTGAAATAGACAATTCCTTTGTGAAAGCTCAATACCTCCAATCCCCCACCCAAAATAAAATCAGCACAGGCTTTTTGGTTAATAAATAACAACAACAACAACAAAAAAGAGGGTAGAAAAACTACCAGTTAAAAAGAATACTTAAGGTTACAAACTAGATCAGCAGTTGAAATGATACAACTCCTGAAAATACTTTATTTCTAAACTGTAGCTTAGAAGAAAGAATTTTGAGACAGACAGGCCACTGGAGGCTTAACTAGGCTAGACAACTGGGTCGTCTGGCTACTGAAGTGGGCGTTAGGTGCCACAAATCGGCTTTGTTGCCAGTTACAGTTCTTAGGTAAATGGCATGTATGGATTTTTTTAAAAACCTTTAAATCACACACGCTGTTCTAAAGCCTTTTTGCTCTGGTTTTGGTATATACAAAAGAGACAAGCCCCCCAAATCAGCAAATCTTGCTCAAAGACAGCCCTCTTTTCCTTGGCTAGTCTAGAAATAAGATCAAATTTTCAGGTAACAGACAGAAAATACACGATTCATATATTGGGAACAACAGTTGAAAAAACTGAAAAGGATGGCACTGATAAAAGGTACTTTGGGCCAAGCTAGTAAAGTGTAAATTTTGCTGTAACTGTGCTTTATTCGCACCAATGAGATTGACTGCTGTACCCAGAGTAATGGCCTGGAAGATGTCCATTTCAGAGCAAGAACTCTAAAAAAAAAAAAAAAAAAGTAGTACATTTGAGGTAACAGCTGATATCAACTAAGGCTGTTGCAGTACTCAAGGTACACTCCTGGAAGAAGCAGGCATGTGTGAGGCTTGGCAGCATGCCGTGATGAGCACGGCTAATTGTAGCAGTAAATCCCCTCCATTCTGTGATCATGAGGCCACATCAGATGTACTGTGTCCAGCTGTGGACACCCCAGTACAGAAAATGGGTAAGGTCTAAGGCAGACTACCATGCCTGGTGGCTGCTGTGCATGGTGCATGAGAAGCTGAGGGAGCTGGGTTTGTTTAGAGCAGGGTGAGTGGGGCAGCGGGACCAGGTGGGGAAGGGCTAAGGAGAGGGGATCCAAGTCCTTCACTATCTAGAGGGTTATTACACAGAGGACAGCGACAGGGTCCCCTCAGAGGAGCACAGTGAAAGGACAAGAGGCAACAACTACAAAATGCAACAGGAGAAACTGCAGCTCAGAAGACAAACTTGTAGCTTGTTTCTCTAAGGGGAAACATTTTCCCAGTGCGAGCGTTTATGTGCTGGAACAGTTGCACTCAGAGACCGAGGAGTCTGCCTCGTCAGAAATTTCTGGAACCCAACTGAAAAAGGTGCTCAGCAACCTCATTCAGTTTTGAGTGGGACCCGCTCTGAGCAGAAAGCTGGACTAGATGACTTCCAGAAGTCCTTTCTAACCTAAGTTATTGTATAATTTAGGTTACGCTCTCAGGAAAAGGTTTTTTACACTCATTTGTTTATTTGCACCAGAGACAAAATGCAAGCTCTGTCACCTACTGTAAAATGCATAAAAATTACTGATGAGTGAGCAGAAAACTGCTTTTCAAGGATATTTATTTTCCAAATCTCCCGTAATGAGCTGCTTTTCCTTCTCCTTTGTCAAGGATTTGCTAATTTTAATCAAAACCAAAAATTAAACACACAGCTGGGATCTAGCTTTCAAGAACCACTGAAACTACACCAGTAAGAATTCCAAATATAGACCAGAAAAGTGCAAGCTGCGCAAGCTGGACCTGCCTCAGACCACAATATCCTCAAAGAGCAAGTCCTTAGCAGGCCAGTTGAGACAGCATGATTTCACACAGGCTTTGGATTACCGTAGCTTTTGCAAGGATGAAAATAACTCTGAGCTGGCTACATAATTAGGACTGGGAGAGTAGCTCAGATCCAGAGAGAGCCCACATTTTGTGAGCAGCGATGATGAAATCCATTTAGCAGTCTGAAAGCAGATTACCGTGGAACTCTTCTGGAAGAAGGATCTAGCTACTCAAGCATTTTAGCATAAAAGAATTTTTATAAAAGACGGAGCAGTACTTAAATGCAACTAGTTTAGTGCCACTTCTTCTACAACCACTTTTCCTATATGAAGCGTGAAGTTCTCAAGCCTTGAAAATGAAGGATCACGTATGCCACATAAGCATATTAATGACGCTCGAAGACAAGGATTTGCCAGTACAGAATTTATAAGCCGGGCCCCTTCACACAACAGTTACTGAATCCGAATTAAAAAAAAAACAAAACACAAACCCCCAAAAGCCAACAGCCGAACTTAACGCCTATTAAAAGGCTTTCTGAAGGTGCGTTACTTTAGGCAACCCACAAGCGAACCTCTCAAAGCGAGGCCCTCAAAGGAGGGCCCCACCCTCCCTCGGTGTGCAGACGGCGGCCGGACCTG